GGCAATTGGTGTCCTCTCTCTCTCTCTCTCTCTCTCTCTCTCTCTCTCTCTCTCTCTCTCTCTCCCATTCATTCTCCGGTGCTCCCCGGCGAATGGCGCAGAAGCAACGGTACCTTTGCCGCAATGAAAGAGCGACAGCACCGAATACCATGCTGCACCTCGGAAGAGATGATGTGCGCTGAATGAGTGTGCGAGTGCACTGCAACACTGGGACTGCTCGCATTACCAATGAACAATGGCGGTGATAAGGACGTAAAGAAAGAAAATAAAAACAAAACAAAAAGCTGATGAAAGCACATTACAATAAATCAGCAGTAATGCCACCGCTGAAGGCAGCGGTTGAAGAGCATCATCGATAAAAAAAGTGCCGGTGGCGGTGATGATGGTCATTGGCACCGCTGTTTGCCAGATAAGCAGCCCAGCGGTGAAAGTGGCGACATATGTAACTGTCACTCGATGAGACAGGTCACATTTTTGCTACTAATTGGCTGATAATTATCATCAAAAAGATTATCACTATGATTAAACTTGCCTGGTTTATTCTGGAAGTTTGGGTTGGCGGACTCGACGTAGTAGTCAGCAGTGTCACCAGTGAAGGTCGATAGAGAACAAAAACAAAAACAGGGGACGGTGGAAAAGGCACAGAAGAACGTAGTGAAATGAATTGATATCAGCTCGTTTGGTTGCTTGATTCACCACCACCGCCCTTGGGTGAACGTGATGTCGGTGGGAGATGTCGGCGACAGTGCTGGTAGCAGTAGCACTCGAGTGGTGATGCACTGGTGGAGAATGCAATCCTCTGAAGACTGTTGCACATCGCACAGACAATCACGACGATGACGATGTTTGCACGCGGGTGTGTCCGGCTGGCTGGCCCCAAGGCACTTTCTGCTAACTCTTCCCCTAACTCCACTCTGGACCGCTTCAATGCTTCTGCTGATGCTGCTTCGGCAGTCTCCACTGCTGCTAATGTTGGTGCTGCTGGTGGTGGTGTTGAGTAAGACAGCACACACGGTCTGGCAATGTGTCGATGTTGGATAGACCTGCAGAGTCTGCCTGCCTGTGTGTGTGCAGTTGGCAGCTGGCCGGGCGATGGAGATGGAAAGCGAAAGAGAGAGAGAGGAGAGAGAGGAGAGGGAAAGAGAGGGAAAGAGAGGGAAAGAGAGACGGACAGACGAGAACGGCAGCAATGCTGCTGCTGGAGATGATTGCCGACTTCACAGTAAACATTGCACGCGCAGCCTCAGTATCCTCCGATGTCTGTCCGTTCGTCTGCAGTTGGGCGCGGACTCTTCTGCAGTCCCAGATTCAGAGCACATCGGCAACCGCAGCAGCAGCAACCATTCATTCACCAGCGAAACACCATCAGCACATGTAGCCCTTTTTCCCTTCCAACCAAATAGGCTGGACCTTGCACGCCCACATTCGAATTAGACAGTGTGATGATGCCTGCCGCCAGCAGTGTGATTAGATCACTTGATGCAGTGGGTGGTAGTTGCCTGATAGAGAGAGAAAAGCATCCTCATCGTTGTGGCAGACATCGCCCATGGTCTTTGTGTGTGTTGCTTTTGCAGAACTGCTTCACCATTCTCATCACCGTCTGCTCCAAGTTGGCTATTTTTAGTGCCAAAGTGAACAGAAGGAGCTTCAAGAGCAGTAGACTTTTTCACAGAGACTCATCTCGCTACTGCAAATGCTGCTGCTAGTGCTGCCTGCATTTCAGCTTTGAGCTTGGAGGGTCGTCGGGTATTTTTAAACAGAGCCAAGTGTGCGACACCTCGGCTTGATTTGATGCTCTGACGTGGTAATCGGATAGTGATGCACAAGTACTCTCAGACACCACCGAGCGGTGTGTAAACAGGCAAACATGTACTCACACCGAGCTTGTGTTCCCGCCACACCGGACCGGTCCTTGTGAAGATGACCACGGGCGAATGGTATCGCCAATTATCATCGTTGGAAAGTGCAGGCCGCATTTGACCGCAGTATTGTGCACAGCCCCACTGCCAATACTTTTAGGTCAACATGTCTGCCAGCAAGAGTGCAGAGCCAAAGCGGCGGCAGCAAAGCAGACAAGGCACTTGCCTTATTTGGACGTCTGCCGCTTCAAGCGCGCCCGATCTGCCAAATTGGCAGTGAGAGGGAGAGAGAGTCTGCGAGTGTGTGTCGATGTGCACGGAAGGCTGAAGGCATAAAGTAAATGATCGAACCTATTAATTGAAGACAGACTGACTGTGCAGAGGAAGGAAGGAAGCAGAGAACAGAAAGCAGTGTTTGCTAGACTGAGCAGTTGCAACCCAGTCAGTCTGAAGCTGTTCTTGCCGTTGCTGGTGCGCCCACCGATGGCGCCCAGCCAACGACGCCCGTGGCCAGAGGAAGGACTGCAAGAAACAGTAGACGAAACAGTAGTACTTCAGCGAAGAGGATGACGACGACGACTAGGGTCGCTGTCCGCTCGTACACAACTGCACTGTAATTCGATTAAGGGGACAGCGACGGCAGCAGCATTACCAGACCCGGGTAAATATGAATTGATCCGACAGACGACACTGTCTTCTCCCCGTTACATTAATGCAATTACCCAAAAAACCGTCGTTGGGTCGAGAGACTGAGCACAGGGTGAGATGATGCACAGAAGGCACCACCACCATCACCATCATCATCATCTTCAGCTGCCTCGCCGACTTGTCCGACGACAATGTCTCCGAGTCAGAGTTTGGCGTCCTGTCAGCACTGCTTAGAGGGGCAATCCATTAGGCGGATCAGTGGAGTGCACCAAAGTTGCCAACCAAAGGCGACCAGCACTACGGAAAGGACTGAAAGGATGGCGGCTCCAGTCACTCGCTGGCACTCACTCGCTGGCACTTGGAGACGAGGCAGACAGGCAGAATGGAAGAAAGGGAATTCACTTGTGAGCCATTGCATCAGTGCAATCGATCATGGCTTCTTTTTATTGAATCGAAGTATAAGCACTGAAAGGCTGTAACAGCAAACAACACTAACAACACTTGAAGCAAAGGCGTTAGGCGCTAAAAGCAGCTATAACATTTGTAGATGTACGCTTTTCAGTCAAAAAGTCATCACTACAAAAAACAAAAGCTGGAAGAAGTGCACCACTTTAGAGCAGTTCAACTTGTTCTTCAAAAAACGCAGAATCACGGTTGGATCTATAATTTGATGAATCTAGATTCGAAGAGAATTTTCGTTTACTGTTCATCGACGATCGCCTTAATCGGTGGCGCAACGAAGAAAAGTACTGCTTCACTTGAACTGTATCGTAAATTCGATCTTTAAAGTCAAAGTCCTTGTTGAAGATAATTTGCGCCAGGTATTCAGAATCGACCACTCTGTTGTATTTTACATTGTAGAGAAAAGACTGCTTTTTGCCGCCAAAGTGGTGGTACCCATCGTCGACAAGTTGCTCATCATGTACGAGTGGAGTGTCACCGAGATCCCATTCCAGGCTGGGCATTGTGAATTCCCCCTCTGACATGCGACGTTCAGCAAATGATGAGCAATCGGGCGACTGAAAGCCATGCAGTTCACAGTACTCGTCGTTCATACTGTCTTTAATTTGCTGAACTTGGTCTAGGAGATAGTCAAATTTGGCGACTGTGGATGAGCCAATGGAATTGAGCGAGGAGAGGGAGAGTGATGACAGATCAGCAGAATCGTCAGGCAGTGGACCAGAGCAGTTTAGCCATTGGTTGGTGATGTTGGTGCAGTTATTCTGTACGTTAAGAACCGTCTCATTCTTATTTTCAAGCATCTCCGTTGTGTAGGAAGTGGTGGGCTTCAGGAAGGACGCAACGGAGCTGCCATAATACTGCAACGTGCTTCCCAGATCAGTAAGAAGAGACCGAATTTGGTGGGGTTTGAAGTAATTTAAGTACAGGAAGGCGCCACATCCCAGGGCAATGGCTGACTTAGGAAGACCTGATAAAAGAATTCACCAATTAGTTTGTGTCAATTTAAAAAGTGTGCAGAGTAGATTACTTATCAAAGAAGCTGATCTGTATACTTGGAAGTTGTGACCACAGTTTGGACAGGAGAGCAACTGGGTGGAAAGACTGGAGAGGGAAAAATCAAAGGAAAATAGCTCCAACTCGTTGACCATTTTGTTATCAGATGTTGGCAAAAAGTAGACAAGCAAAGCTGAAACACATCAGACAGCAATGATGATGATGATTGTGAGGATAAGAGTGGCAATGACAAAAGTTGCCCACCGACAATCAAAACAATTACTATTCATGGATTCTGAGCGTGATGCGAGGTGGCTCGTTGAGTGAGCTTCGGGTGCATGAGATGCATCTTTGTATCTTCGCCAACTGCATCCACCCGATGTTCATCACTGTTTAACGCGGAAAAGAGGGTTCTAAATGCGTTGGCAACAGCAAACAGGACCCATTTGGAAGACACAATGGAAATGGGAGCACAGTGCGATCACGACAACAACGATTCAAAGGGAGAATGTCAAAGCTGATCCGTAAACATGCGCTGCAAATCAGGGCATTTGAAGATGGGACCGGTGCTGCTATCTAGGAGTAGGCTACTGGATTTTATTTGAGATTAGCAATCAGCAGTGAAATAAGAAATCATATTAGAACCGCGTTTATTTTCAATCTTTTATTATCGATGTTGATGAATCAAGGGCAAATGGTTTATAAACAAATCATCTTACAATTTTGATTTTAGTTTTAAAATGCATGCGGTAACAGAATAATTAATAATAATGATGACGAGTGCTTTCCTGCTTCCAAGAGCGTAAAAACAGGCAGAAATGTAAAGATAAAAAATTTTCAGCTAGAAGCACTTTCGGTGGACAATGGACGGGCCAGACTCGTCGTACTCCTGCTTGCTGATCCACATCTGCTGAAAAGTGGAGAGAGAGGCGAGGATCGAGCCGCCGATCCACACCGAGTACTTGCGCTCCGGCGGCGCCACAATTTTGATCTTCATGGTGGAGGGGGCGAGGGCAGTGATCTCCTTCTGCATGCGGTCGGCAATGCCCGGGTACATGGTCGTGCCGCCGGAGAGGACGGTGTTGGCGTACAGGTCCTTGCGAATGTCAACGTCGCACTTCATGATCGAGTTGTAGGTAGTCTCGTGGATGCCGCAAGCCTCCATGCCAAGGAAGGATGGCTGGAAGAGCGCCTCCGGGCAGCGGAACCGTTCATTGCCAATGGTGATCACCTGGCCGTCAGGCAGCTCGTACGACTTCTCCAGGGAGGAGGAGCCGGCGGCGGTGGCCATTTCCTGCTCAAAGTCGAGGGCGACGTAGCACAGCTTCTCCTTGATGTCGCGGACGATTTCGCGCTCGGCGGTGGTGGTGAAGGAGTAGCCGCGTTCGGTGAGGATCTTCATCAGGTAGTCGGTCAGATCACGGCCGGCCAAGTCGAGGCGAAGGATGGCGTGCGGCAGGGCGTATCCCTCGTAGATGGGCACCGTGTGCGAGACGCCGTCACCCGAGTCGAGCACAATGCCGGTGGTGCGGCCAGAAGCGTACAGCGAGAGCACCGCCTGAATGGCCACGTACATGGCCGGCGTGTTGAACGTCTCGAACATGATCTGAGTCATCTTTTCGCGGTTGGCCTTCGGGTTGAGGGGAGCCTCGGTGAGGAGGACAGGGTGCTCCTCGGGGGCGACACGGAGCTCATTGTAGAAGGTATGGTGCCAGATCTTCTCCATGTCGTCCCAGTTGGTGACGATGCCGTGCTCGATGGGGTACTTCAGCGTGAGGATGCCTCGCTTGCTCTGGGCCTCGTCGCCGACATACGAGTCTTTCTGGCCCATGCCTACCATTACGCCCTGAGGAAAAAAGAGAAATATTAGATATGACCTAACATACAAAAACACTGAGCAATAGAACATACCTGGTGGCGAGGGCGGCCTACGATGGAGGGGAAGACGGCTCGAGGGGCGTCATCGCCGGCGAAGCCAGCCTTGCACATACCGCTGCCATTGTCCACAACTAGGGCGGCAATTTCGTCGTCGCACATTTTGAGAAAAGTTTTTCTAGTTTCCGTTGACTGGAGAGCGACTTGCCAGAACGATAGACGATGTGCACTCGATGGGTGAACGTGTGAAGTGTGAGAGGAGCCTCGACTTGACAAGCGCCCTTTAAATCGACCCAATCAGCCAGTTCTGGTGAGCCAGTCAATGTAATGAACTGTGATTGTCAGCTGCGGCGACACTAGTGAAATGGCTCTGCTCGCATCGACCAGCTCTGCCGCCAACAACACCGCCCTTTTCACTTGACTGTACAGCTCACGGCGAAAGTTAGTGGTGATGACAGTGACGAGTTGCCAGTTGTACGCGTCCGTTTGCAGTGACAATCAATGGCAAGCAATAGATAGATGTGATGCCCTTTAATCAGCACTGAATGAATTCCAGCAATGAGCAACACAGCATTGATTGGCTTATCTGCCACCGGAGAATGCTTTGGGTGGAGAAGCAGTGGTGACACAGCGACACTGTAACGCCTGGTAACACCTGCTGCCGCCAGCACGACAACCAAAAGGATGCCTTTTTTGGGCACAAACTGAAGAGTTGATGACTTCCACGATGATTCATTGGTTCAACGTGAAAGAGCGACGCATGTGTTTTTGCGATAGGAAGCTTTTCTAATAAAGTTCAAAAGGGCAAAGTGTGAATCACTTGTATCACCATTTTCCGGTTGCTGACAGTCAAAGGAAAATGAGTTCGAAGTGCAGAAAACAAAACATTGAAATGAGCAAACATAAAAATAAGTTCATTTCAGCTGTAAAACAATAGTTTTGCCAAGTAGTACCATCGGTGATTACAGCATCTGCCAGAACGTGTGCACAGATAGTCACTAGAGGTTTTGCTTTCTTCTATCAAATACGCCTATTGCAATTGGTGCTCCTCCGTTGGGTGCTCATTCAATGCTACAAAATGTAGGCGTTAGATATTCACTTGAACTCAAAGACAACTTGTAGAGCATTCCTAAAAATGATTTGTTTCCTCTGAACTGACTCTTTTTGCTCTATAAGTGACACACCGTTAAAGATATCGAGTTTTTTGTTAGAAAATATAACATTAAATGGCATTTTTCTAATCATAATACCAAACTCGAGCTGATCAGATAAACGAGGGTCAACTTTTACATTTGACTTGGAAAATACACCACTGAAGTTATCAAGATGCGGTTTTTAGCAAAAACTAAGCTATCTGGAACCTTTTTACTCAAGCTGATCTGAGACCAAGGAAAAAATATTACAAGAACAAACAAGAAACGAAAACAGCGGTGGCAGCAGTGGGCCCACTCAGCTGATGACGGTTTGAACCGCTCAAGCCCACGTTGTTTGCTCAACAACAACNCTAAGCTATCTAGAACCTTTTTACTCAAGCTGATCTGAGACCAAGGAAAATATTACAAGTCAAACAAGAAACGAAAACAGCGGTGGCAGCAGTGGGCCCACTCAGCTGATGACGGTTTGAACCGCTCAAGCCCACGTTGTTTGCTCAACAACAACAACAACCAAAACAAGAGATTTTCATTCTGGAAACGAATCACCGATTGAACAGCTAGGTTAGCTCCTGGTTTGCGCTGGCAACGCTTCAAATGGCGCGTTTTCTCGATGGTAAACTGACAANCAGATAAACGAGGGTCAACTTTTACATTTGACTTGGAAAATACACCACTGAAGTTATCAAGATGCGGTTTTTAGCAAAAACTAAGCTATCTGGAACCTTTTTACTCAAGCTGATCTGAGACCAAGGAAAAAATATTACAAGAACAAACAAGAAACGAAAACAGCGGTGGCAGCAGTGGGCCCACTCAGCTGATGACGGTTTGAACCGCTCAAGCCCACGTTGTTTGCTCAACAACAACAACAACCAAAACAAGAGATTTTCATTCTGGAAACGAATCACCGATTGAACAGCTAGGTTAGCTCCTGGTTTGCGCCGGCAACGCTTCAAATGGCGCGTTTTCTCGATGGTAAACTGACAAGCAATTTATTTTTACTTTATTCTTTCAACTTTGAGGTTCTTTTACTTTTACTTTTTCTACCCTCCAAACAACAAAAACTTCTACCAAAAGACGANCTTATTCTTTCAACTTCGAGGTTCTTTTCTTTTACTTTTTCTACCCTCAAAACAACAAAAACTTCTACCAAAAGACGACGCTGAGAAGAATGCAACCATGGAGATGCTTATGGAGAAGCTTCGGGGCATCAAACGCAGCTCCAAGAAGTACTTCAGCAGGGCCGCCGCTAATCTGGCCCTTTCAAATGAGGCGTTTGTGGTACAGCGACTGTACACCTTCATCGACGACTACCGCTGGTTCAGCAGCAGCAGCATTGGTTATCAACTTCCAGTCACCATTACCGTACTTCAGGCAAAAAAGCACCAACACAGAGGACGATTTAAGCAGGCGGCCTACCGCCTTTCGATGATGATGGGCAATCCACTGGGTGGGACACTGCACACCCTGCTTCGCCACGGCAGTCAATGGCGAGCGGTCTGTCCTCGGGTGGATCAGCTCTTCGGCGAACTGCCTGGACAGGTTCAAGACTTGATTGCTAAGATCGAAGCGAGACCGGGAAGAGCGTCGTGTGAGCAGTTTTTTGCCCACCTCGCGGCAGCCGCTTTGAGAGAGGTGGAGGGTGAAGTTGGTGATGTGCTGAATCCCCGTAAGTTGAACTTTGTTAAGATCTTGTTTACTATCTGACCTATTTGTTTTTGTTCTAAATAGGCTCGCTTTTTGCTGAGATGGAAGAGGAGATTTACCGCTTCATCGTCGAGCACATTTCCGGCGAGCTTCGGCAGCGTTCCTTGACATCATCATCACTTGATGAACCGACGATTGAGTTCAAGCGTAGCGGCCTGCTTCGTTTTCCTCTTCGGGAGAACTTTGCTGCGCCGGAAAATATCACCGTTGCTGCTGAAAGTGGAAATAAGAGCAAACTGGCCGCCCAGAACTGGGACCTAATTCTCGTGGTGCCTGACGCACGCACCACTGACCTGTGGCGGTATGCGGGCGAAGTCCACCCCATCATCACAGTCTACTTTTCAAATGAACTAGAACTAACCCGGCAAAATTGGAGGACAAGAAAGGTGGAAACGAAAGAGAATGTGCCGATGAAGAAAGTGAAGAAAGAGACGAAGGGTGTGAAAAGGAAAATGGATGACGATGAAGATGATATCATCTTTCTTGCCAGTGTACCTAAGAAGAAGGTCCTTGGCAGTAAAGTCTCGAACCAAAGAGTGGGATCCGGCCGAAAAACGCCGAAAAAAGAGGAAGAAGATGAAGATATCATTTGGATTTAGAAGTGAAANGATGTACCGAAGAAGAAAGTTAAGAAAGAAACGAAAGAGAATGTGCCGATGAAGAAAGTGAAGAAGGAGACGAAGGGTGTGAAAAGGAAAATGGATGACGATGAAGATGATATCATCTTTCTTGCCAGTGTACCTAAGAAGAAGGTCCTTGGCAGTAAAGTCTCGAACCAAAGAGTGGGATCCGGCCGAAAAACGCCGAAAAAAGAGGAAGAAGATGAAGATATCATTTGGATTTAGAAGTGAAAAGAAACTGATGTAAGTCACAAGTATTATTCTGTACCAAAGTTCTTCATACGTGTCAGTTTCGACAGTTTGACACAGTAAACAACCGTTGACAAAAAACACAGAAAAAGTTTATGAATCAAATTATTATTTTTAATAACAAATGAATAATTAAATTATTATAATGAACAAGAGTGTGTCTGTGTGCAGGTGTGCAAATTGCATTCAGCTAAATGTGTAGCTGTTCAATTTTGGATCATTGAGTACACAATGAAATGTAGAAAATAACTAACTTAAATTAAAATGAAGTAGAAATGAAGAAGAGACAAAGAATAAAGTTCATTGCGCAGTTCTTAGAGAATGTTTGTGAATTATGTATCAATTGAAAAGTTTATGATTGATAGAAGAAAAAAGACACTACATGTGGGGAAATATTAGGAAATAAAAAGAAGATTGCATGCAAGGCGAGTGTGTGTGTTTGTGTGCAAGAGACGAAAAGGCTTTTGAAACAGACAGAGAGAGAGAAAGGTGACATTTTGGAGGTGAATTATGGCGAGTTTAAAGGGAGAACATCAGAGTCAAAGTAAAAAGAGGGAATATCGTTGTAGCTACAAGTTCATCAAATACATAATTCTAATAGGTGCCATTGCTGCAAGGATAAGTGCGCGAGATTAAAAATTATGAAGATTAAAAATGCATTGGTTCAGGTCAGTTGAAAATCGCTGGTAAAATCAGTTTATAAAGTAAATAAACAAAAATTGAGTTGCCAAAAACAGATAATAGTCAAGTTTGCTGCTCCTGATGTGTGGGTGTGCTGCCAAAAAGGATCAAAATTTGCAATGGGTGTGTCAAAGAGAGAAAGAGTTTGTGTGGGGTCAACTTTCGTAGTCATGTCGTTTAAACAGTCAGGTAGTGCTCAACATTGCAGAGTGTTTTAGTTGGAAGCAGCCACTGCATGTGGTTCGTCCTTGTCCTTATTTTTGGACTTCTTCTTGCTGAAAAATGACGTTCGAATGCCGCCCTTCTTTTTCTCTTTCTTCTCTTTTTCTTTCGATTTCTTATCTTCTTTCACAGGAGAGCCCTAAAGAGGTGAAAAGGTTAAAATGTGCTACTTTAAAGTGTGACATATTGCAAACCTCTTTACTGCTCCTCTCATGTTTGTCGTGTTCTCCGTTGACGTTGGTGCCATCAGCTGTAAATGATATAAATGATATGAATATCTCAAAAAGGTTCATGATAGTATTAAGAAATGATAAAGATTGGAAATATGAAAAACCCATTCCACGTAAGAACGCAAGTAAANGGATATAAATGATATGAATATCTCAAAAAGGTTCATGATAGTGTTTGAAATGATAAAGATTGGAAATATGAAAAACCCATTCCACGTAAGAACGCAAGTAAAAAAGATTTAAAAGGAGCCAAAAGGATAGTTGCAGAACTTAGCAACTTACACTTTTTACTATTTTTAGGTTTTCGTTCCGACCTAAATCGACCTCTAGAGAAGAAACTATCTTCGGTGGCTAATTTTCAGCAAACAAGTCATGCGACAATTGGGGCAAACAGTAATGTTTGGGGAGTATCCAGGGAGGCGGCATTTAGCAAATTTATGCAATGACAAATCAAAGTAAGCGTGTCAAAGCCAAACAGGGGAAATTAAAAACACAAGTAAAATAATTAGTAAACAAAATAAAACAAAATGAAACTTGTAAAGTAAGTTTAAAAGCAGGAAGCGTAAAGTTAGGAAGACCCAATAGCTAAATCAAGCCAAGACATTAGTGGCGCAAACATTGATCAGTCACTGTCAGTTAGATGCTATCTTTTCCCATACCTTTTTGACTTCGCTCAGAAACCGAAACATCCGGCTCGGTGGCTGTTGCAAATCCACCAGAAGCGCGCCAAGATTTGAGAGTGATTAGTGAAAGTTAGTAGTAGTGAAAGTAGTAGTGGTAGAGCAAGTTAAAGTTAGCAGAGTATTGAGACATGCATCGGTATAGGTGAGAGAGCGATTGGGAAAGAAAACCAAAAAATGAATGTAAAGAAAGTGGTTAGAGTCTTAGTTTTTTAAAATGCAAACTTTGAAAGTAGTAAAAAGTGAATATTAAAAGAATGCTAGGAAACTTAAACCCCCATAAAAAGGTAGAAATATCAAAGGTGTTGGTAGAAGAAGATAGAAAGATATAGTGAAAGTTCAGTGTCAACTAAATCGTTACCTTGTAAAGCTAATCTAGCGGAATGTGATCTTTGAACACTTTTTCCGCTTCTGATATCTATTCACGTGGACGTTTTTGATTTCAAACATGATCGACAAAACATGTTTAGTAGTTTTAGTGGTCAAACAGTGTTGTGACCGATATGATTTGTGTTAGTGTGAGTCAGTGTAAAGTTGAGTAAAACGAAAATAAAACGTGCATAAACAAAAACATAAAAAATAAAATAATTAAATCAAAGATCAAAAATCAAAAAGAATCAAAATTGTTTCACCCTAATGACTGATATAGTATATCAGCAATACATTACCTTCTTCATCAGATAGTGGCGATGTAGGAGAAGTAGGACTAGCAATGTCGCGCGAATCATGATGCAGGGATATTGGCTCCGCCAGAAGGTGCTTCACATTCTCTGGAATCTGGTCTTCATTAACTAGATTTGAAAGGAAAAAGAGGACTTAGAAGAGAGAAACAGACAGCAGACAAGTTGAAGTACCTATTTCTCCGCGATTTTTACGCTCGATAAGTAGTCGATATTCGGCCAACTCCTCCTCGGTCACATTATCAAATGGGTTCTTCGCGTATGCGCTCTTGTAGACGGTAGCATTGTGCTGGAAGTCTCGCTGAATGATGCCCTTCGAGGCGGCGCCCACCATGACCACGTGATTGGCCGGGGCAGTGCCGTCCACCTGGCTGGCGGCGTACTGCCGTGCCTCCTCCCAGTTGACGCCCTCGAGGATGTGACTTTGCGGACCGCTAGTGATCATGTTCTTCATGCGAACTTCCTTCATCTGTATATGTGTGCAAATTAGACAAGAAAGAGGGGATGAGTTTATGTGTGCATGAGTTGGCAAGCTATGTTTTTTTGTTTTAATGTACCTCTCGCTGTTTGCGCTTGAACTCATTTGGATCACCTCCGTTAACGGGAACAAACTGGCTGTGACTGTCGATCTTGATCGGCGTGCTGTGAGCAGGCGAGCCGTCTTGCTGAATTTGCCACTGTTTGTGTGAGTATTTATTGGAGTAGAGTGTGTCAGTTTATAACAAAAGTGACAGTGAGTATTGGGGAAACTTAGTCAAATATAAAAGGCTATACTTTAGTGATCTTTCTCGGGTCAATAGTGCCCGTCTCGAGCATTTCCACCTTCTGGTAGACGTTGGGCGAGTTGACCCAGTTCAGCTTGTCTTGCGTCTTCTTTCCCGCCACCAGCTTGCGCAAGGGAGACAGCCACTTGTCCTCGTCAAAGGCATTGCCATGCGAAGATGCCGTCGGGGGCACTTCCACGTCAGAGCGCGTTCGGGTGGATTCAGCGCGTAGCAGAGGCTGCCGGTAGATGTAACCAGTCCGGAAACCCTACATGACCATTACCGAACACAAAGCAATTGAACCGTTTAGTGAGTGAGAAGAGCCTAATAACCAAAAAGTGTGGTGTCCTCCTACCGAGTTGTCCAGCATTCGCATCTGTGCTTCAAATTCCAGATCCCAGATTTTCCACTTTTTGGCACCTCCAGCGGCGGCCGCCTGTCTCGCCTGTTGCTGTCGCTCCAGTTCAGCCGGATCGCCAGTCTTGTTGAGTCCTTGCACACCGCTGCCGGCGTCTTTCAGTGCCGTTCGCACCTGTTCGACGGCCTCTTCAGGCAGCAGGCGAATATTCTCCAGGCCTACCTGGGCCAGTCTGATCTGAGTTTCGCATGCGAGCACCAGGTTGGTCATCAGGTAGAGTGCCTCCTCTAGCGTCTCGCCACCGGTCACCACGCCGTGATTGCGAAGTATCAGTACCTATTTATTTTACAGAAAAGCAGCAAGCGCAAAAGAGCATTAATTAACAGTAAAATATTAGCTGTAAGTATGAGCGTAGCGAATCGTAAACAATAGCCGATTGACTGCTGCTAGCTGTAATTAAGTGAACAGGTGAAAATTTGAAAACATACTAACCGTGCATGAATTTTTATTATCTACCTCTCAAAGCACGATAAACTTCAACAGGCTAAAACTCACTAATTGTAATGAATCAATAGCTAAATCAACCATCTAATATTTAAATTTTCTAAAAAACAAAACTCAAATTTTTTTTTCGTAAACAAATACTCCTTCATGTGCAAGAATGCAAGGAGCTCAAGGAAAGCAACACAAACACTTCACAGGAGGCGATTTTGCTGCGTGGGCATTTGTAGAAAAGTGCACGTAGGCGTAGTGACATGTGTTGTCATTGTTCAGTGCACCCATCTCCCAGAAAGCAATTGCTTACCTTATTGTTTGGCCCTAAANTTCAACTTTTTTCGTCGTAAACAAATACTCCTTCATGTGCAAGAATGCAAGGAGCTCAAGGAAAGCAACACAAACACTTCACAGGAGGCGACTTTGCTGCGTGGGCATTTGTAGAAAAGTGCACGTAGGCGTAGTGACATGTGTTGTCATTGTTCAGTGCACCCATCTCCCAGAAAGCAATTGCTTACCTTATTGTTTGGCCCTAAATCGCGGGCAATCGATTCACGCTCTGCTTCGTCGACTACTAAGCCCCTGTAGTCGTGGTAACTGACCGGTCCTAGAATGGCTGCCTCTTGACAGCAAATCAGCAGACCTTGCTTCATGGCAGACACTGCAACACAAGCTGGGTGGTGAAGGTGAATGACAGCTTTAATATCAGGGCGTGATAGATGAATTGCTGAATGAAGCATGTATCCAGCTCTGAAAAAAGGAAAAAGTGTAAATCTAACAGGACGACAAATATTACTGCCAAACATACTTGTTGAAGGTAAAGTTTGTAGATCCAGGGTCGATGATGTTGCCTTGCATGTCGACTTTCAGTAGAGAAGACGCCGTCACTTCGTGGTACTGCAGGCCAAAAGGATTCAACAAAAAGTGCTCCTGATCTTGGCTGACACGGACCTACCGGGCAAGAGGGAAAGTTGTTAGCAAACATAGTGAAATTGATAGCAATAGGAGTTGATTGCTTACGGTAATGTGGTTGTAGATGCCCATCGACCAGCCGTACAG